CCTTGCATCCTTGCCTCCTCGGTCCATCCTTCGCCACGTCCGTTGGCCGCGCCCCGCTCGAGAAGCTTCGACATGGGCGTCCAAGGCCCTTGCATCCTTCTTGCGCATCTTTATGTACGGGCCGACCGTAGCGCGGCCAGGCCCCCCTCACTACAGTGTGGCACACGCTTGTTCTTGCCTGCGTTGCAGCCGGTGCAGGCTGTTGGCCCCGCTTGGGGGTCAGAGTGCGCACAACGCGGCCCGTCGTGGACTTGCCTGCCAGACCACGGGCCGTCCGGCTTCCCCGAGCGGCCCGACCCTCGGGCGCGGTGCGCCCACGAGTTGGACCTCTGCGCACGGCTCGTCGCGGAGTAGCCTGCATGGCCTCCTCGGCCTCCCTGGGCAGCTCACCTCGGGCCTCGGACTCGGTGCACCGCCAGGTGGTGTCGTCCTCCCCTGCTCTCGCCGTCCCTCGTCGCTCCTCTGCTCGTCCCTCCTCCTGCTCGTCTCTTCGGCCGTCGCCCAGGTGTCGTCCTTTCTCTGCGGGTCGTCGGTCGTCCCCTCGCCGCCTGCCTTCGATGATGATGATGATGATGATGATGATGATGATGATGATGATGATGATGATGATGATGATGATGCTGATGCTGATGCTGATGCTGATGCTGATGCTGATGCTGATGCTGATGCTGATGCTGATGCTGATGCTGATGATGCTGATGATGATGCTGGTGATGGTGATGGTGATGGTGATGGTGATGGTGATGGTGATGGTGATGGTGATGGTGATGGTGATGATGATGATGATGATGATGATGATGATGATGATGATGATGATGATGATGATGATGATGATGCTGATGATGCTGCTGCTGATGATGATGATGATGCTTTGATGATGTTTGATTATGTGTTGATGATGTTGCTGATGATGCTGATGATGTTGTTCTTGGCCTTGCTGCCCCCAGGGGCCTGCCAGCGGCATCCGCTTGCCCTCCTCCCTCCCCAGTTTCAGGGTTCGCCCTGGTTACCGGGCTGTCGCTTCCGTACTCTGCCTCCTGCTGTTGTTGCTGCTCTTCGAAGGTCGGCAACGATTCGGCCCTCTGCTTAAGTCGGGCCCGTCCCTCCACATGAGGAAAATTCAGGAAAAAGTCAACAACTAGTCTGAGGACGATTCTTTTAGTATTTTTGATTCTGACTAAGTTTCGTTTCTCGCCCAGAATCTGCCAGTGCGAGGACATGCCTGACCTAACCCTCTGCCCTTACAGGGAGTTCAACGAAAACTAGACGGGCATGCCCGGCTTCAGTCTCGCGGACCTACTCTAAAATCGTATGTTTTAAATTCTTTATTATGTTTTTTTTAATTCTTAGTTTTGTTGTCTTCCTTGTTTCGGGGCTGTAATCTCTACGGGACAACCTAGAATTTTAACAATTCCTTATTTTCAACATTCCTGTTTTTTTTAACCTCCCTGCGCAGCTAGGCGCGCCCTCGCCGTAGCAGTCGTCTCCCTGCCTCTGTTTCGCCCGCCCCGCGCTCCTGAGGAGTGCCGCGATCGGTGGCGTTTTTCTGGCCGCTCCCGCACTCTGTTCGCACCGCTCGGACGTGTGCATTTTTCCTTCGGCGAGGACCATCGCCATCGACAAGGGCTCCCACGAGGGCGCGAAGTTATTCGCGCTTCGCGGTCCTCGTTCCTTCTCCCCCTCCTCCTCGTCCCCCTTTTCTCCCTTCGGGGGGGGGGGGGGGGCGGCGCGATTGCGCGAAGTGATTCGCGCTTCTCGGAGCGCGAAGCGCGAAGTTGGGAGCCCTTGCTCGAGACCCTTGATCGCCTGGCGAAAAACCCCTCGATCCCTTGACGAAGCAAAAAACACATGGTTCCTTCGGCGAGGACCCTCGAGGAGCACCCCTGATCGCTTGGCGAGAGAACCGCGCACGAGACCGACAAGAGCAGCACAGGGAACCGACGCCCGACGAGCCATGGCCAGCGTGGCAGAGCGTCCGCACCACCCCGCCGCGCGCCGTCCTCTCCCTCGCGCACTCGCTTCCGGCCCCCTCTCGCCCGCATGCGCCGGACACGTCCTGACCACCCGCCTTTGGGCGTTGCGTAATGGAGGGGTCATAAATGGGGGGATGTCGCGGGTGGTCCGAAAAGGTACCTAAACGGTACCTAAACGAGCCCCCTGGGGCTCCAGAGGGGCCCGAAAGGGGCACGAAAGGGGACCGTTTCTGACCCCCCCATTTATGACCCCCCCACTAAGCCACGCCCAACGCCTGCAAACATTTGGCCTTGTCATCGCTCGGACGTGTGCATTTTTTTCCTTCGGCGAGGACCATCGAGGAGCCTCCTTGATCGTTCGGCGAAAAAACCACGCATGCGCCGGACACGTCCTGACCACCCGCCTGCAAACAGTTGGCGGCAGTTGT